CCCTATTCGGACAACGGGTAGACGTCGGGCTAGTTCACGTATAGGTACGTCGTGCAAGCCAACGTTGGAACGACGTTGGGAAATTAATAAAAATGGTACGTTGTTATTTTGTACGTCGACAGATCGTTGGATTTACCGACTCGGATCCAACGACGTCACTTTTAATAGGAAAGCGACGTCACCAGTCGTATCACCAGCACCCGACCTAAATTTGCACAAAGTCTGACGTCGCTTCAGGTCAGATTTAGTTCGAAGTCAGATATATGCTACTTGGGAACACCCAAGTACAAATTGTTACCATACTTCCAAACAGTGCCGTGAAGAAATATTTATATTTTTGGTAAATATTTTGACTGCGCCTATGGTGTATGCGGTGGTATCATACTAATTAATTACGGAAAAGAACGTATTAAAATGTTAAAAGGTACAAAACTACAATCAAGTACATATAATAACAGAAAAATAATTATCGAATTAAATAAAAAGGCTGTTTATTTACCTATGAAACGAAACTCCTGGCTCTTTTTTATCGCTGCGGCTTTTACACTTGAAAGCTGAACAACTAATCACTATTGTAATAAAGTTTATACAAAGTTCACTACACACAAACTATTAAAAATCGTAAAAATTGTCGCTGATAATGTCAAACATCACAAATTCTGCTACAGCCCGTATATGGGCTTTACATGTTCTTGTATTCTTTAGTCATTGCGCTGACAATTTGAATAAAGAGATTAAGGAATGACTTTAATGCTATCCATGTATTCATGCATGATCGACGGAAAGAGGACTCTAGGGTGGGAATCTGACAGTTCTGTTTGACGATTCATTTGACACATTTGAATTTGATTTGAAATTTTGTGGATTTGTCAGTCTTTACTACCTTATACTGAGTGTAATTTATTATTTATTCTACTAGTGATAGTTGTATAAAGGTAGTAAATATACAAGAAAATTGTGGCAGAAATTAAATTAACAGTGACACTATTGCGATTTTTTGAAAAATACTGTTAAAATACTGTTGTGTAGCGTGTGGTAGATCTCGATCAAAAATCGAGAGAAATAATGGAGTAACTTTTCGCTAGTAAGTGACTATACCTATTTCGTTGTTTTAGAAGTGTGGTCTGGATTTTAACGTGTAAGACAGTGATGTAGACTAGTGATGTGTTGGTATTTGAGTAACGCGATTTTGGAGCGGTATTTTTTTGTAACGTCGTGTCGCGCTCCACAACGAATCAGGAACCTGTTATTGAAGAACGACGATCATAATGACGACAAAATTATAAATTATTTATAATTTGCAAATAAATTATTTATAATCGCTCTTGAAGTTAGCTCGAACCGTAGTAACCGCAGAGCGACGTGTTTAGCTCCAGCCGTCGCGATTTCGTCGGTCGCCAACAGTAGTGTCTGGAACTGGTATATCCGTAGCGCCGCGCGATCTCGATCGGGACGTGTTCGCTCCAGCCGTCGCGCTCCTAGAGTTGTAGTTCCCTGTCGCGAACAGAAGTAACTGCTGTAACTGGGCATCGACGCTCGACCTCGGCGGCCACATACTTCGCTTCAGCCGTCGCGCTCCTAAAGTCTTAGTTCCCTGTCGCGAACAGAAGTAACTGCTGTAACTGATTATCGACGCTCGACCTCGGCGGCGACGTACTTCGTTCCAGCAGTCGCTCGAGCGCTTCTAGGGTTTCGTATTCGCCTGTCGCGATTTGGTCGGTTACTACTGGCGTTGGTGCTCCCATCGCTACGTTACTTTCGAAATAGCGATTTTTGGTATGTACTAGGCATGGTATAAAATAGCGTTGTTAAAAAGATGAAACGTAAAAGCAAATAAAATAAAAATGTTATTTGCTTTTATACATTTATATAAGTTTTATTGTTTATATCTATTTTTAAGGTCTAATGATGGCTGGAATTGCCAAAACCGGTCACCAATAAAGCATTTTTTGACAGTGGTTTGGACTTTGTTCTTGATTAAATATATTATGTTGCAATACACATAAATATGAGCCGTTAAAGACAATACGTCATTCCTTGATATTTCTTTAAAAATTAAAATATAATGCTACTTCCCGCAATATAATGAACAAAAGCATTATAGCGACAGGTAATCAATTTCGCAAGCAACTAACTATAATAGTTTAACTAACTTATTTTATTTTTGTATTTCTCAGCATCGAAAATTTTAAAAAATATAGGTCCATTTTCTATACAGTAAACACCGCTCTCCATAGGCGTTCTATTAAGTTCATTATCTAAGTTCATGACACGAATGGTTGTAACAGCTGGTACAATTGTGAGAACCTGGTAGGAACACTGGTTGGGAGTAGATAACTAATGTCAGAAATACTGCATAAGCGAGGACCGCGACACTGTGGAAATCGGAACCTCGATTACAAATTAGCGGTATTTTGTCGCGATATTTTTCTGGAACGGTCGTTACTGTAACGCGACTCATGTGGAACCGGTATTCCCATCACTAATGTAGACAGCTTAATGGAAAATCAAATGTATTAAAAAGAGATAAAAATTGGGTTGACATAGTTCTTCTATGCGGTATTGCTGGATTTTGCATAAAAAAACGCACAAGTAGGCGTTTATGGAAAACGTTGCATCTAGGGTTGGAACCTTATTTTTCACAATTAGTTACTCATTTTACAACAGATGTAATAGATTATATTTAGCTTAGATATATTATCTTCATTTCAATAGTATACATGAAAGTTTTTAAAATAGTTTAAGCGTAAAAACCGGCAACACTGTATGCCGCTTTTGATTTTGTCTCTCTGTCTGTCAACCGGTCATTTATATTATTCTCTGTCTTGCACGTTAAAATCCAGACCACACTTCTAAAATTACCAAATCGGTATATAATATACATACGTGTAGTAAACCGATCATTTATGAAATTCACTTAAAATTAACTAATTTTATATTTTTTCTTGCATTTTTGCTTTTATTTACTACTTGTCACAGATTAGATGTCAAAGAATTTAGATACGTCTACCTGCTTCAGTAGCGTATTGGATGTTTGTGTTAGGATATAAGTAGTAGGATTATACTTATCTATTTTTGTTAGAATTATATATTTTTATAACAATTTTAATAACTACCAACATTTATTGACAACGTAAAATAAGACAACAAATTATTGAGTATACCCCAGGTCTACCCTACATCATATTTTTATACGTTTTGAATAAAATTAGAAAGGCACTGATAAACCGGAATTGAAGTCGGTCATTTTAGAGTCCCATCGCGGTCGATCTAAGATTTTTTATATGCTCCTTCCTTAATTTTTTTATTCAAAGCGCCGAAATGATAACATGATAACAACCTAATAAATTGGCATTTTCATTTTTGGACGAATTGAGCAGTCGTTGGTATTTGATAATTATTGTAAAACATTCGATTTTAAAATCGAAATATTCAAAGCAATCAGATACGCATTAATCAAAGAGAGAAAAACAAAAAAAAGCAAACAAAAGAATTAAACCAAAGAAATCAAAACACGCAACACGCTTACAGCTAGATTTTGATAAGCCCACGGCCACACAGAAAGTTTTTTTAGCGTTTTGCGTTTTTTGCGTCTCGAGCGCTTTTTGCGATTTTACCGTTTACGCGCTTTTTTCGATTTGTGTCCATTAAAAACACGCAAAAGATGCAACAGGTCTGCAGTTTCTATCAAGATGTCAATTAGTAACGTCGCAAGCTCGTGGATTCCCGGCCCGTCCAACAATCAATCCTATGAGAGAGAGATAGTCGAGATCGGCGCCATTAGCGTTGAAGAGACGTGGATAAAAGATGCTGGGATTGAATTGTGGACGGGCCGGGGCATATATTCGGAGACAAACACAATCTACTGCTAGTGCCAGTGGTGTGTGTAAAAATAATAATTATTATTTGGCGATTTATTTTACGAATTTTCGTTTATATGTGTATAGTTTTTTTTATGTTGTAGTGTTGTGGTTAGTACTTGTTATAATTATAATATAATATAATAAATAATTATAATTATATAATAGAATAGTAAATATTTCTAGTTGCTAATGCAATTTTTAGAACATGATTTATGAAACATTTTGGAGTGAAACTTCTTTACGCGCGCTGGGAGTAAAAATTCAAGGCCGTGACATACGAGCTAGCGAGACGGCCCTGACACACGAGCTCGTTGTAACGAAGCGTGTTAACGGCTTAGAAATACGTAGTGACGCGACGTGTATTTGTGAGCAGTCCATATGTTTATCAAAAATATTGATATTTTAATACAAATTTTGTTAAAGTGAATTAAATTATTACGTGTAAAAAAACATTTGTTGCACGTAAAAAACTATTTTTATTATTTTACGCGAATAAAACTGTCACACGTAAAAAAATATTTTTTTACGCGTATAAAACTATTTGTTACTTGTAGAAAACTATTTTTTACGCGTATAAAACTATTTGTTACTGGTAGTTACGTGCAAAAAAAACTTATTGTTTCTGGTAAAAAACCTTTTGTTGCGCAAAAAAAATATTTTTTACGTGTAAAAAACTACTTGTTACACGTAAAAAACGATTTTTTACGCGTCAAAAACTATTTGATTCTGTTAAAAAAACCATTTACGTAGAAAAAAAAAACTTTTTACGCATTAGAAAACAATTTTTTACGCGTAAGAAAATATTCCTTTAATTTATTACTTTATCAACATTTCAAACTGCACTTTTTCAAACATTTCCTTCAAATTTTTGAATTTAATAGAATCTTCCTAAACAGTAGATGTTCTTTATAAAAAATATTTTTAGATAATACCCTAAAATGAAAAAAAAAATGCATACTATTTAATTTATTTTTATTGTATTATTAAATATAACGCTATGACGGGGTCTCATCTTAGAAAGCGCTAAAGACGCTACAGAAAACAAAACTGATTTGTTTTAATTTGCGTTTTTTGCTAGATACGCTGAACGCTACACGCTTTTGGTGTGGCCACTCCTATATAATCCTGTTATTTTGTTTTAGTCGCTAAAGACGCTTCACGCTAAAAACGCAAAAAACGCTTTCTGTGTGGCCGTGGGTTCGACCTAACTTTAAGGTCCACCAACAGCCAAATCTTTACTATTTTGAGTCCCTCCATTCTGACGAACTCAATCCGAAATGATAACAAAAATTTCCTTTATTTTTGAATTTTGATTAGGCGACAAAAAGTTTAGTATTCCTTGCTTGTTTATATTGCATTTCAAATGTCAAAAATGTTCATTTTTGTATGCAATAAAATGTAGTTTTATTTTTACAACAGTACCTACAATCAGATAAAATTTGGTAAAATAAGGGCGGTATTTCTGTTTTTTTAAAAAAGAGTACCGCTGAATAGCGGTATTCGTTATATATTTAGCAAAATCCCCCGTACTTTATTTACCTCGTTGTTCGGTGGTATTCATGTTAATAAATATGTAAAACCGTCTAACGGCGTTCTTCCTTTCATCCATTGTCTATATCGCCGGCGGTAATTTAGCCAGTTTGTTTCTTTAATAAACGCGATGCTGCGCTTTAAAGTGTAAAGACTAGTAAATTGCCATTTTGTAATGTGTTAAATGTGATTTTATAACTCCTCATGAGCTGGCCTATTTTTCAATGATTTTTCTACGGGAAATGCCCAAAATGACGAAATAAATCCTTTAGCATCTCGTTCTCTTTTGCAAAACGCAGTAAAGGAAGAAATACAATTACCTATAAAATGATTGGCCTTCCCTAAAATCGCCAAATCTACATGCGGATTCGAATAAGGAAGCTTTGTTACAATTATTTTCATTCTTTTTAAGGCGGATTGTAAATCTTCAATCATATGGTTATTATCAGACGCAACAAATACGCTTTTAATAGTTTTATGATTATATTCATTAGTAGGACTGTTATTGATCATTTTAATTGTTCTTTTTAGCTGTCTTAATATAATTTCCTTTGACGGGAGACACATTTCTGGAGTAGCTTTTCCTTTCTCGTTTCTATAACCAAGGCACTGTGGAGCGGAGAAAAGATTTGGACTTTCGGGAATATGCTTACAAGCGCGTACCCAATCAATACCGTTTCTTAGATGGATTCCAATAAAAGCACCTTTCGACATATTCGTTTTGATGAATTCGTCCGCTTGTTGATCTATCTCATCTGACCATTCTAGATACTTCTGCAAGTCTCTGTTCTCCAAAGACACAGGAAAACTGGCCGGGCTTCCTAAAAATAAACCCCGTTAAACCACCTTTAGAAAGTAATTTAGTTAAAACAAGCTGACAAAGAAAACAAAAACAGAAAATAGATAAAACCATTATTAAACATCTAAATAAATAATATACAGGGTGGGCCACTGAAAACTTACAATGCCTAAAATTTTTAAACAAAAAAAAAGATATCAAAAAAATAAAAAATACCGTTTCTATAATATCGAGGGGGAATACATATGACGTATTTTTTGAACCACCCCGACCTACCCCTTAGGAGGCATTCCTACTCACTTGAAAATCTTAAATGGCAACACCCCACTTGGGGCGCCTTTTTGGAAAGCCCACGGAAAATACTAAACGATGATCATAAAGTTTTTAGGGTGAAATTGAAAAACTACCCCTTACACGAAAAATTAGGTCGACATGAATGAAAATAGTGATTTTTTTCAGCATAGGTTACAAATTAGGACCCAGCTAAATGAGGCAAATGAGTTATTTTTCAAACCACCCCGACCCACCCCTACGTACCACCCCCTCACTTCTAATCTCAAGATAGCGATATCCCACATCAGATGTATAACCCATACAGACTTCAACTTAATTACTGGTAAGTAGTGATAAGAAATGTAGGTGTGACAATTATTTGAAAGAAATTTAAAATGATAATTTAACAATTGCTCAAAATGACAGCCGTTTTGATCCATACAAAAATACAAACGATTTCAAATTCTTCTCTCACTTTTTGGAAAGTCTCTCTCGGAATATTTCGACATGGTTCAGTTATCCTCTGCCGCAATTCTTGTAACGAACCTGGTTTTGTCTTGTAGACTATGAATTTAGTCCCCAAAAGAAAAAGTCTAAAAGAGTGAGATCAGGTGACCTTGGCGGCCACGCGATTGGACCCCGTCTGCCTTGGATAATATCTATCCTAACCTAACCTAACCACCGCCTTGTGACAATAGAATAATGTCATAGAGGGGCTTCATCTTGCTGAAAGTGTATGAGGTCTTCATTAAGAGTTAAATTTCCTTCCAAATCTCTTTGATTTTCAACCTCATTTACAATGGCTGGCTCTATCAAATTGTTCAGCATTTCCACATAAGCACCACCAGTCAAATTTCCGTCGATGAAAAATGGACCTATAATTTTATCGCCTAGTATTCCGCACCAAACATTGAGCTTTTGGGGATGTTGGGTGTGTCCTTCAACAACAATATGCGGATTCTCATCGCTCCACCATCTTTAGTTCTGCTTATTCACGTTTCCGTTTAAAAAAAAGAGCACTCATCACTAAAACAAATATTTTTAGTGAGTGAAGGTTCCCTTCGAATTTCCTCCGTCATTAGTACACAGAACTGAATCCTTCTATCTGGATCGTCGTCGCTAAGTTCCTGCAGAATCTTCATTTTGTAGGGATGGAATTTGTGCATTTTCAATACTCTTCTGACACATATTCGAGGTATACCTGTGATTGATGCCAACTGGCGTGTTGATGCTTCTGGATTGACCGATACCTGAATAATTTCCATCTGCATTTCTTCATTTAGTACTCTGGGCCCTGTCCTTTTTTTTATTTTTGACCGATCCAGTTTCTTGAAACTTTAGAAGCAAATTTCTAACATAAACGTGACTTTCGTTTTTGTCCTGATGTCTCTAATTGAAAGCACGGGCCGTTCTCAAATAGCACATACCTTCAGCACCATAAAGAAAAACTATTTGATTTCTTTCTTCCACATTATAAACCATTTTTCTTTCAAATAAGCGAATCAAATAAAGGTCTAAAATACCACCAAATTTGCAAACGATTAAAAATCGATAGAAGACAGTGCAAAAACGCAAAGATATGCCGTTTTAAGATTCCTGTTTGTTAAAAGTAATAGATGATAAGGAAGAATTTGCGTTATCGCAAAATTAGGCTGAACGATTAGTAAAACATCTTTATGTTGCCTTTTTTATAATCTACATTTTTTATTTTTAGCTTCAAAATGACAATGGTTTCAAAATGGCATTGATGAGATTAGAAGTGAAGGGGTGGCACCTAGAGGTGGGTCGGGGTGGTTTGAAAAATACATCATTTGCCTCATTTAGCTGAGTCCCAATTTGTAACTTATGCTGAAAAAATCACTTTTTTCATTAATATCCACCTAATTTTTCGTGTAAGGGGTAGTTTTTCAATTTCATATTTATTCCCTCTCGATATTATAGAAACGGTATTTTTTATTTTTTTGATATCTTTTTTGGTTTAAAAATTATAGCATATATGTATAAAAGTTTATGATATTTTTTACAAAAAAAGGCATTTATTATAAGAGTTAAATATATTTAAAATCTTTAGTTTTTAAGATATTTCAATATATTTAAATTTGCATGATATTTTTAAAAATTTATGATATTTTTTACAAAAAAAGGCATTTATTATAAGAGTTAAATATATTTAAAATCTTTAGTTTTTAAGATATTTCAATATATTTAAATTTGCATATTTTTAAAAATTTATGATATTTTTTACAAAAAAAGGCATTTATTATAAGAGTTAAATATATTTAAAAACTTTAGTTTTTAAGATATTTCAATATATTTAAATTTGCATGATATTTTTAAAAATTTATGATATTTTTTACAAAAAAAGGCATTTATTATAAGAGTTAAATATGTTTAAAATCTTCAGTTTTTAAGATATTTCAATATATTTAAATTTGCATGATATATTTAAAAATTTATGATATTTTTTACAAAAAAAGGCATTTATTATAAGAGTTAAATATATTTAAAATCTTTAGTTTTTAAGATATTTCAATATATTTAAATTTGCATGATATTTTATAAAATTTATGATATTTTTTACAAAAAAAGGCATTTATTATAAGAGCTAAATATGTTTAAAATCTTTGTTTTTTAAGATATTTCAATATATTTAAATTTGCATGATATATTTAAAAATTTATGATATTTTTTACAAAAAAAGGCATTTATTATAAGAGTTAAATATATTTAAAATCTTTAGTTTTTAAGATATTTCAATATATTTAAATTTGCATGATATTTTTAAAAATTTATGATATTTTTTACAAAAAAAGGCATTTATTATAAGAGTTAAATATATTTAAAATCTTTAGTTTTTAAGATATTTCAATATATTTAAATTTGCATGATATTTTTAAAAATTTATGATATTTTTTACAAAAAAAGGCATTTATTATAAGAGTTAAATATATTTAAAATCTTTAGTTTTTAAGATATTTCAATATATTTAAATTTGCATGATATTTTTAAATATTTATGATATTTTTTACAAAAAAAGGCATTTATTATAAGAGTTAAATATGTTTAAAATCTTTAGTTTTTAAGATATTTTAATATATTTAAATTTGCATGCTACAATATAATGGATTATTTACACCCTGTACATTACTTTTCATAATTAATTCTTACGCTGAGTTTAAAGGTAGAGAAATAAACTTTACTGAAAAATGGTATTGCTTCCTTAAATTTATACAGGGGTATGAAAAATTGCTGATCTATTTTAAGAAATTATTTTATATAAAAACTTCATTATTTCAAACGCAACACCCTGTATTTTTTACAATATATCAAAACAAATTCAAATGCTCTTTCAAATTATATTAGGGTTTCCTATACCTATCTAGCTCAGATTTTGAATAAAAAGCGATTTTTAAATAAAATTGCAATCAAGATGGCTGGTGTCGCCATAGCAATTTTCTAGTGACAGTAACTATCAAAGTCGACATTAGTTTATGAACATTATTATTCATAATTTATAACAGTTTACTTAAATGTACCTACAATAGTTTAATAAGTAAGTATTTATTATTTCTCAAGAAAAATAAAGGAGTATCTGCTGGCGGAACGAATTATTTAGAACTAGTGATTTTATTTTGTGAGGAAAATTGATTCTTGGCGTCAAGGGCTTATGTTCAAAAAAAATATCCAAATAGGAATCTTCCTGATAAGCGTTCCTTTGAAAAACTAATTGTTCTATTTCGCAAAGCTGGTAGTGTGGTTTATAAAAAACCTATTAGGCAGAAACCTGTCGTTGGAAGCGAAGAAAATTAATTTACCGTAATTGGCTCTTTTATAGAAAATCCATATACAGGGTTGTTCACCACACACGGAGTATTGTAGCTAAACGATGAGATTTTTACAAATTGTAAGTTTTGGGTTCGATGAAGGACTATTAGAGGTACCATTTAAAAATAATTTTACAAGATAGAGAGTGTCCCAAATAAGTAAAAAATATCAAAGTTGTATTTTTTAAATGGAACACCCTGTATATTATTACATTTTTAGTTTCTACGATTAAAATAAAGGTAAATTTGATTAAGGTTTATTATACTTAAACCTTACCGTTTTTAAAATATTTTCAATTTTGTGAAATTGCAGTAAAAATTTTAAGGCTTCATTTCTCCAAGGGTATCAAAGTTTTTAATACTAAATATTTACTGAAGTTTATTTACTGATCAGTTATTGTGTTGCAATAATAAAAATAATACTACCTTATACAGAGTGTCTAAAAATTTATATTAAATAATTACTAGCTTTAAACGGCAATAACTTGTCTAATTTAAATGGAACTTTTATATATTTACGTAAATCAGATGCACAATGTAATTGTCTATGAAATTGTAATATACCATTTTTTTACCTGCCCATCTCTTCAAGTTTTCGTATAAAATGCATTTTCTTATAATTTAGACTTCATTTATCACTATACCCATGGAATTGACATTTTAGCTTATTTTTAAAGATGTAACAAATTTTCAAAGGATACAGATACTAATATATTGTTGCTATAGTTCGCTTATTTAATTAAAATAAAAAACTGTTTAAATATTTTTTTTGTTAAAGCGGACCAATTAATATGATCCCAGTATTCAAACTACATTAATTGACTGTTTACGTTGATTAATAATAATTTTGCTCCAAATACAAAAAAATATGAATTTTGTGTGTGTATTAGGATACAGTGTGGTAAAAAAGTAACACTTTATATATTGTATTTCATTTTTGACGAATGCTTATTTTTAAAAACAGAGACGTTCATTTTCATAACTTATTATTATATTGATTTCTGAGCCAAATGCATATTTATTTAGAACAGCTTATTAATTAAAAACAATTTAAAAGTAATGTAATTAACTAAAATTTTTGGTGTGTTTTGGTCGAAAATAATGGTGGGATATTTAATTGGTATACTCTTTTACAAAAGATTTAAATAGGTTTTTTATATGCCAATGGGTTGAAATATTTACCACCTGTATATTTTGTACGAATATGGTGCTATAAAAAAAAATCTGAAATGTCAATATTCCATGGGTATATTGGATAAATGAGGTCTAAATATACTCAAGAGCACATTTCTACGAAAACTTGAAGTGATGGGTAAAAATGGTATAAGACAGGTGATGAGCAATTACATTGTGCATCTGATTCACGTATAATATAGGGGTGTTTGTTCCGATTAAAATTAAAACGTTATAGCCGTTTAAAGCTAGTAATTATTTAATATAAATTTTTTAGACACTCTGTATAAGATGTAAAATTTTATTGTGCAACACAATATCTGGATCAATAAATAATTCAGTAAATATTTAGTATTAAAAGCTTTTGATACCCTTTGAGAGGTAAGCCTTAAAATTTTTACTTCAATTTCAAAATTGAAAATATTTCAGAAACAGTAGGTTTAAGTGTGATAAACCTAAATCAAATTTTACCTTTTATTTCAATCGTAAGTATCAAAAATAGAATAATATACAGGGTGTTCCGTTTTAAAAATACAACTATAATATTTTTTACTTATTTGGGACACTTTGTATCTTGTAAAAATAATTTTAAATTGTACCTCTAATAGTCCTTCAACGAACCCAAAACTTAAAATTTGTAAAAATCTAATCGTTTAGCTAGAATACACCGTGTCGTATGTGGTGAACAACCCTGTATATAGGGTGATTCACGGCGATGGCATGTTAGACGTTTATGGTGATTTTTTTTTGAAATTTTGTTTTTTTACATAAAGGCACCTGCTCCATCTTTCTAAAATATTTTCAACACATTACAGTATTACCACATCATTTGAAAAGTGGAAGCATCTTATTTTAACACTTATTGGAACACCCAATATATTATTACATCTTTGGAAACGACTTTCATATCGCATAATTTTTCTATACTAACCTATACCTGTCTTTAATAGTTTTTAGATAAAAAATAAAACGTTTAAAATTGACAAAGATATTATGATCATGAACAGGCATTGTTAAAATAATAAATTAAACATTTTTAAAGTTGAAATTTAGGTTATAAGTCGATAGATTCGATAAACCGATTGGATATGACATAGGGAGGGCAAAAATATTATTTTTTTTTAAAACGTCATAAAATGATTAATTTTCACGACGGGATTGACAATATAAAAAAGTCATTAAAAAGCCTAGGCGTAAAAAAGCACTTTTACTTTTTTTATATATAATTACATACAAGGTCTTATTTTTAAATCTTTTTATATTATCTGTAACTGTTTAAAAATTGGGAAAAAATTGTTTAAAAAACTATTTGCGGGTGTTTTATACTGTAATTTCATAAAATTGAAAATATTTCAAAAACGGTAAGGTTTAAATATGATTAATCAAATTTACCTTTATTTCAATCGTAGAATATAAAAATAGAATAATATACAGGGTGTTTCATTTAAAAAATACAACTATAATATTTTTTACTTATTTGGGACACTCTGTATCTTGTAAAAATATTTTTAAATCGTAGCTCTAATAGCCCTTCAACGAACCCAAAACTTACAATTTGTAAAAATCTAATCGTTTAGCTACAATACTCCGTGTCGTATTGTCAAGGATGGAATTATTCGATATATAAAATAACATATTTAATATTAATATATTTCGTAAATTAATAATTCGATTGAAAGGAAGTATAAAATAATTAAAGTTCATTGGCATTTACGCAACAAAAGTAAAGTTTTAAAAATCAAAGTTATAAGCATAATTGGCAATTGCGAAAATATTTCCTTTCAATATTACAAATTTATAAAATCATCAAATCAGCACTAACGCGGTCATCGCACCGGTCATCGCACCGATAGACCAATAATGCTGATTCGATGATTCGACGTAACGAACCAATAAATACAAAAATGTCACCTGTTGGGGGAACAGTCGATAGTCGAGAATTGATGTTCGATAAGGTCGCGGTCGAGATTCCGGCATTGACGTTACACTACCCTGACACTACCCCCGAGCCAGTGATGATGTTCGTCCATAAATATAATATGTAAGTACACATTTAGTTTTATAATTATTTTATTATTCGTAGATTAATTAAATTGATTATTAAGTTAAATTGAAGTATTTATTATTTGCTCTGCCCCTAGTCATAACCCACAAAATGGGGTGTGACAGTATGTGGTGAACAACCCTGTAAAAATAACAGTAATTTTATTACAAAAATAAACTAACCACTAAATGCCAACACGGGCCATTCACTGGGGGGATATCTTTCTTTCCAATTTCTTAAATCTACTTCATTACTTATGTCATAATGCAGAGGTCCATAAAACTCTGACCCCACAAAATCAACTCCATAGGTATCCCAAAATGGTCCGAATGGATTTCCTTCTTTAGCGTTACAACTATTACCATTACCTACAAGTAATATACAGATTATTTTTAAATGTCATGTACAAACTAAAGGGGGAGTTTTTTTAGGGTTATTTTAAGACCACATTTCAAATAACTTCAAAACTTATCCGCCTAAAATAACTTCAAAACCGGTCCGCATTATAAGGTTACTAAAAATATTCCGTTTATTCTGTTTCATATATCATTCTGGTCATCGTAAAAGCGTTGTCCGGAATTTAATGTCTATGAAAGTGATATGTCGTCGGTGAAATGTGATAAACTGCTAACTCCATTATTCCTAATTTTACAGGAGAGCAAAAAAACGGTACAAAATAGTAAACGCCACGAATGTTTGGGAGTGATTTATCGGTCGCTACCATGATACAAAGAATACAAGGTATGATATTGCGCAGGTTGGTCACTACGTCACAGGTGATAAACGGCACCATTGGTCAGCAATATGTCAGCAAGTTCCGCGCGCCAATTTCAAATTGTCAAAAAATTGTCAAACAGATGACACAATAAATGTGAAAATAATTTTTCAAATGTCAAGCTCGATGATTGACATAACTTTTGGGGTTATGTCCTAATTCTTCCCTATTTTAGGTCTTTTTTTATTAGTGGCAATTGAACAATATGGATATTTTTTTGTATGGTGTATGACGACACAGGTGGTATGCGCAAACTTAACGAAATTGGAGCCGCTATCGATCATACCTTGTTTTCTTTGTACCATGGGTCGCTACCATGTGAACTAATCTGTTCAAGGTCACATAAAACTTAATTCCAGTGCCGTTGTGTTTCAAGTCATCTAATAATCAATATATAATCTGTTGTAATTTGTTGTTTTAACTGTCAAAGTCTTATCAAAACTTTGAATAAGAAGACTAAGGAAGGAGCATAATGCTATCCATGTATTCATGCATGGTGGGCGGAAAAAGCGCCATAAAAGCACTCTAGGGTGGGGATCCGTGACAGTTCTGTTTGACGATTCATTTGACACATTTCAATTTGATTTGAAATTTTGTGGATTTGTCAGTCTTTACGGAGCTTATTTTATGTTATTTATTATTTATTCTACTACTGATAGTTGTATAAAGGTAGTAAATTTAGATGGAAATTGTGGCAGAACTTAAATTAACAGTGACACTATATATCGATTTATCGAAAAAGATTCTAAAAATAGTTGGTTGTGTAGCGTGCGGTAGATCTCGGCAAAAATCGAGTGAAATAATGGAACAACTTTTCGCTAGTAAGTGACTATATAATATACATACGTGTAGTAAAACCGATCATTTATGAAATTCACTTAAATTAACTAAATTATATATTTTTCTTGCATTTTAGCTTTTATTTATTACTTGTCAAAGATTAGATGTCAAAGAATTTAGATACGTTAATTTGACTTACCTGCTTCAGTAGCGTATCGGATGTTTGTGCTAATAAATACTTATTATAACTTATCTATTTTTATTAGAATTATATATTTTTATAACAATTTTAATAACTACCAACATTTATTCACAACGTAAAATAAAACAACAAATTATTGAGTCTACCCCACGTCTACCCTACATCATAGTTTTACATTTTTTAAATAAAATTAGAACGACACTGATAAACCGGAATTTAAGTCGGCCATATTTGAGGCCCATCGCGGTGTACCTAAGATTTTTGATATGCTCCTTCCTTAGTCTTCTTATTCAAAGTATCAAAACATATATTTGGTTATAAATATAAAATGGAATGTCCCATTGGTCAAACTGCAAGCACACCAATGGACTGACGCACAAAAACGAATCAATCAAAGAAACGCGATATAGTATCGTCTTTGTCAATCACGCTAACATTTTAGAATAAGTAGGAGGAGCGCAGGTAGATGATTAGACTGGGCGTTTAAAAACCTACGTCTGCGGTAAAAATTTACGTTTTTAAAGTAAAAATGATAGCGCGCGTGTCGATTCTAACTTCATCAAGCGATGAATCACTCCCAAACATTCGTGGCGTTTACATAATAAATATGAAAAAATATGCCTTTAATTACCTTATTTTTATAACACGGTTACAGTAGCCCTCTTGATTATGACCAATCTAATAAAAAATAACATAGAAACGATTGGTTTATTCTAAAATCGACAATATACCAGAATACCATAATAATACTAGGTGTATTAATATCTAATAAATAAGATATCAATGATAATGAATAAGAAACGACGCCTCAGTGAAGTCATGGTAGGCTTTGGAAAAAAGTTGCTTTTGACGTAATAGTTTAAACGTCGAAGTGTTATTAGATCAACATTTTGATAGTCTTGGCAGCGTTGTTTTCTCTTTTAAAGAAAGTTATTTTCAGAAAAACAATCAAAAGATAAGCTGCTGAGACTATCAAAATGTTGATACCCGTATAATAATATTTTGATGTTTAAACTATCCCTTTAAAAGCAAGAAACTATTTCCAAAGCCTACCATGAATTCACTGAGTCGTCGTTTCTTGTTCGCTGTCATTGATATCTTCATTATTAGATATTAATACACCTAGTATTATAGTATTCTGGTACATTGTCGATTTTTTGAATAAAATAATCTTTTTTGTCTTATTTTTTATTAGAATTGAGAATCAAGAGGGCTACTGTAATCGTGTTCTAAAAACAATGTAATTAAGGGCTTATTTTTTCGAATTTATTATAATTTTGATTAGTAGTGGGAACTATCGAATGAATACTATCGAAACATTCGATAGTTGCAATTCATTCGAATAATTCGATAGCTAGTAAGAAAACATTCGTCGAAAACTACTCGAATAAAAATTATCGAATAGATGCGTCATCTGCCTTGAAATATTGTATTCTAGTAATTCGGCAGCAAAAACCATTCATTTATACAATTCATTCATTTATCAAATTCATTTATTCGTCAGGATCGATTTTAATAAAATATAAACTGGATTTTAGTTGTCGTCCGGCGACGTAGGTTTCTTTCCTAGAAAACTGACGGCGGTCGGTGGCAATGCTATGAAAGAAGCCGGCATCTTTGATTTTTTGCGGAGTCAAATAAAGATAAGGACACATTATATTTTTTTATTGAGGTGCTAGTATTTACACAGAAAATACATTATGAAGAGCGCTGTTGCCATATATTCGTATTAGTTGGTATTAGCAAAGAATATTATTCTTTAGCATTAGTTAGTTAGGGATAGTATGTCTATATGTTTTGCAATTTTTATTAATATTCTGTTATTACACTGCAATACTTTTTATTTTGGATGTAGGAAAATGACTTTTAATATTTTTAAGCAAAGACTGGTTTAATAAATAATAATATCAGTAATAATTTGTTATACCTATTAACAACAAAATTTAAAATCATTTAATAATATAAATTTTTTTTTTAAGTAGTAGCAAAATATAAACAACAAATAGAAGTCAAAAGTATTTATATTAGATCCAATTTAAAAATAATATAGTTTCTAAATGGCAACGTTGGTTTATTAAATAATAATAATTTTGTTATATTAACAACAAATTTTAAAATCATGAAATATAAACATTTATTAATTTTCTAAGCATGCAATGTAATGGAAGGGAAATATAAATAAAAAATTAGAAATCAAAATTATTTATATTAGGTGCTTTATAATTACTATTTAAAAATTATATTTACTTTTACTGGCATTTACTTTAAAAAATAAATTAAATATTTCTTCGCAAAAAACTACATGTAAGAGAATTAACATAAACAAAATACAAACATTGCTAACCTTTTTTTTAAATTGGCACGTGTAAAACTTTCATTTTATTTTTCTCACCCCATAGTTTGAGTTCGATAACCCCATTTACTTAACAACATTACTTAAATATGATTATTAAGTTCCAACTAATTCATATTATTAAAACATCTAAAATACAAATATGTATTTTTAAAATTAATTGTAAGTTCATCTCATCTCTGTTAAAAATTGCTACTTCGCCTAAAAATTTCCCTTTAAAAAAATGCAATCTAACCTAACCATAATATACCATATAAAATGAAATAATTGAAAGATCGGGCTACGGAAAATCACACAAATTTTCGGAAAAATTTGTGTGATGACCACTTCGCACACAATCGTCAATTAAAAAAAACTACTATTTTAGTATTTTAAATATTTTAATAAACGCAAAAATTGCATAGTATTTACAAGGCGAAGTTATAAAAACTTGGAAGAACTAATAATGCACTGACGCACACAAAAATCAAACGAATACTAAATTTCATTTATCAAAAGAATTCGATAGTCAACGATAACCATTAATTTAGTCGCACGGCGAGGTTGTCACATATGCTTTAGTATACAAATGAATGAATGATTTTATTCGAATAAAACCATTCGATAGTTGAAATCATTCATTCAGTAATCATTCGATAGTCTAATTCATTCGATAGTTCCCATCGCTAATTTTGATAATATCTTTGGTTTGAAAGAGGATATCAAGATGCGGTTTTCGCTGACTTTTTAAGCTTTTATTACTCTTTACCATCAGCTAAAATTACATAGACTATCGGATTTAATTTTTTTGAAAAAACACGCAATGTTTGTTAAATAGTAAGTCCGCGCCCCCCCCCCCCTTTATGAGGTATGGTATAATATAGAGTAAGAAACGCTCTTTTATACGAGCCCTTGCTTGTTGAATTCCGTTTATCCAGTCCAAAGACATTATAAAGATAGACCGAACATCTCATTCATAAATACTCGTTGGTAGTGTATCAAACATTCCAATGTGTCAAACAAGGACAGAAGAGACAGAGAAGTCTAAAATTTCCGACCCCGGCAACTAGGAGCATTTCGATTGTTCTAATGGCCAGTGGCGTATCGTTTTTGGAAAGCATTTAATTAGTAAAGTAAAATAAATTAATTAGTAAAATTTATACTCCATATTAATATACTACATTAACACTTTTTTGTCAGATGAGTTTTGTTATAAGGTCTAATATAATAATATGATTAATATCCCACATATACCTATGTTGAAACGTTAGTAGGTGGT